GCTGTGGTCAGGGACAGGCTGGGTCCATTCACTAACTGGATAGTATTATAGGCTTCATTGTGTCCACTCAACACAATAACAGTTGTGGGTATGGGGGTATCGGTCTGTGGCACAGCCTGGCATATGGGCTATGGATCCTGTGTGTTCATATGATACTCTGTATCAGCCAGTGCTTCGTCTGGCTAGCTATCATTAGGTATACAATGCATTCAAAACAGCTAGCTAGTTCATTGAAAAGCTGTCTAGATCAGTCCCTTGTTGCTTGCATGGCTTGCTGTCAATGTTGTTTTGCTAGAACTTTGCTAGCAAACTGGCTTCAGACTAATATGGTCAGGTAAACACACTACAGAGCCCAATCCAGCCACCCTTGCACTGGCCCCAGTGTTTCCTGGGAAGCAGACAAACAAGCTGGCCCAGGATTGGCTCATGTTTGGCCTGGTTCCAGCAACTCCCCTCTCTCATTCCCTTCTCTCTCCCTTCCCTGCCTGCAGAGCACACTACATACTTGGCCCAGGCTTATGCCAGTCAGAGTCAGACCAGCCCAGGCGTGCATCCCAAATGGAACCATATTCCCTATGGGCCCTGGTAATAAGTAGTGCATTATAGGGAATAGGGTACCATTTGGGATGCATGTCAGCTCAGCGCCCCCAGCCCTCGCCCCCCAGAACACAGACTGACTGACTGGGTCCATATCGACAGTAGGACTCTCTGTTCTCTCTGTTCCCACTGTTACATGGCTTAGAAGGAATAAGCTTTTCAGACCCCACGCAGACAGGGTGGAATGCAGCTAGAAGCAGATCAGAAGAAAAAAAAACTAACTTTACACACAAAACAACACACGTTTATTCTATTATTGGTACGTTTCAGGTAGATGTTCAGGTGTGTTTCAGGTAGCTGTTCAGGTGTGTTTCAGGTAGATGTTCAGGTGTGAGGGGCTCGTCTCCTACTCAGTCTGCTGGCCTCTGGAAGCCCCAGGTATGGAGCGTTCTCCTCTCTCCTCTCCTACCTTCCTCTCTTCTATCCCTCCTCTCCTTCCCCCTTCTCTGTCCCCTTCCCTCCTATCCTCCCCTACTCTACCCTCCACTCTCCTCTCCCCTCCCAAGGAGCCAAACTGTCTGTACCTTATCACTACAGAACGAGGCAGCGCAGGCCAAACAATACATTCCACAGGCGCTGTCTGTCTACATCCCAAATGGGACACTATTCCCCATATAGTGCACTACCTTTCTGGTAAAAAGTAGTGCACTATGTAGGGAATAGGGTGCCATTTGGGACTTAAGCTCTGTCTGTCGTTGAAAGTCGTTGAGCCTGATAGCTGGAGGAGTAACAACACAGGGCCGGCTCTGTTGATATTCAAATGGAGAGGAGGGGGAGAGGGGACTGGGCTCACAGTGGACCGGGAGAGTGAAAGGCAGGGAGGGATGTAGGGGGAGAGAGGTAGGCAGGGAGAGAGGGAGAGAACCTGGGAGAAGGAGAGGAAAAAACGGAGGCAGAGAGAAAGGCAGAGAGAGGGAGGATGGACAGCAGGTAGGGAGAGAGAGACAGACACAGAGAGAAAGGCAGAGAGAGGGAGGCTGGACAGCAGGTGCAGGGAGAGAGAGACAGACAGAGACAGATACAGAGAGAAAGGCAGAGAGAGGGAGTCTGGACAGCAGGCAGGGAGAGAGAGACAGACAGACAGACAGATTCAGAGAGAAAGGCAGAGAGAGGGAGGCTGGACAGCAGGCAGGGAGAGAGAGAGAGAGAGAGAGAGAGAAAGGCAGAGAGAGGGAGGCTGGACAGCAGGCAGGGAGAGAGAGTGGCTGGCCCCTAGCCCTGGATGGGTCCTTTGTCTCTGTCTGGGGGCTGAGGGCAGAGGTCAGACACATAATAGGGGCAGTCTGACGCTGCTGGGACACTGTGGTGTGGTGAAGAAACATCAGCTAGATATCCCTGGGGCATTCTCACCTTCTGTTAACCCTTTCATAAAGACAGACGGCCAGGGAGATACAATGAGTCAGCCAGACATGCGTGAGTCAATGTGTCTACCATGTCTACCATGCTGGTCTATGTCTAGTTCTATGTCCATGTCTAGTTCATTCACCACTTCAATGCTAATATATGTCTAGTCTAGTTGATCTGTATGTGTAATAAAACCAGTGACTGTGTGTCCAAGAGAGATAAAGTAAAAACCGGAGCCATTGAGACACAAACCCAGACTAGACCCCTTGAGATCCAGATGTCCATGGACATACATCCTTTAGCTCGTTTTAGACTATACAAGTCTACCATGTTCTTCTATGTCTAGTTTGGTCCATCTGTATAGAACCAGTGACTGACTAGACTATGTCCTATCATCATGATAATGGTAAAAGGAAGTCAGAATTAGTCATTTAAACTCCACATCCACACATTCAGCTGCTGCTGAACCCAACTCCCGTGATGGGCAGATTCAGATTCACGTTTATTAAATCTGTTTGATAGCCAGTAAAGATAGATGATCAGTTAGATAGCCAGTCGAAACCTAATAAAAGGCCTTTCCAACTATTGTCCAATTTTATAGTACTCTACCATGTAGGGCACTGAATAAAAAAATGGCATTGGTAGCACTGGTGCGCTCAACTTAAAAAAGTTAGAAGCACCACATTAAATTTTGGCGTAAGACCGAGTTTAGGAAACCCTGTGCTATAGGAAGATACAAATATTGCGCTGGTAATATGGGTCAGATCGTTTGACCTGATTGTGTTAGAAGCAAGCCATTTGCGCTGTAGTAATGGTGCAACCATGAAGCTAATGAATCTGCACTTGCTTGTTTTCTCTAGGGCACTCTGAAACAAAGGTACAGTGAAGCCTTATCATTACAACAATTATTAAACTCCTGGTTGCACAGCAAAATATTTAAATTGCACTTTAAAGACCTTCTACCAAGCCATCTCAATTTAACAAATAGCTGGGCAATGCTCCATATAAGTGCTTTGAGAGGGCAATTAAAGACTTATTGATAATTTCATACAGCATTAATCATTAGCCTATTAATTGTTATTTAGAAGATAAGGCTGTCCCAAATGGCACCGGATTCCCTATATAGTGCACTACTTTTTTGGGGGGGAAAAGGGCACTATATAGGAACTAGGATGCCATTTGGGACACAACCTAATTAAAAGAAGGGGAATGAGTGAATGCAGGGAGAAAGACAGGGAGACAGAGTGACAGGGAGACAGGGAGACTGGGAGACAGAGTGACAGGGAAACAGGGAGACAGGGAGACAGGGTGACAGGGTGACAGGGAGACAGACAGACAGGGAAGTGATGAGTATCTCTCAGGCAGAGCAGACTGAGGCAGAGTTGAGCGATGGAAGGATCGATCTAGATTATCACACTGCAGTGGTAATATTGTGTCAGGATACATCAGGCAAGGCCAGCATGATATCATTACACTAAAGAAGAGATGAGAAATAAAGCTACACTAGCTGTCAATCAGACCAGTTCCATAACATGACCTGCATAGACAGACACACCTAAACAAAGATACTTGCCTAGATAAAGGATAATGCAGGGGTTCTCATGGGCAACATACGGTAGGTGTTGAAAAAGGAATAATAATAATAATAATAATAATAATAATAATAATAATAATATGCCATTTAGCAGACGCTTTTATCCAAAGCGACTTACAGTCATGCGTGCATACATTTTTGTGTATGGGTGGTCCCGGGGATCGAACCCACTACCTTGGCGTTACAAGCGCCGTGCTCTACCAGCTGAGCTACAGAGGACCACAATCCTGTGCTACAGACACTGAATACTGTATAGTATTTGAAAGAAAACAAATACTATTTAAACCCAGGTTCTGACAGATACCTATGCCTAGATGAAGAGACTGCAGATTTTTGTCATATATGCTACATAGAGAAATGCTGAAATGGAGGGTGCTGAGATGTATAGAAGGAGGATATGGCTGGTCGTTAAACAGAACATCCCTTATATCCATTAGCTAGCTAGTTACAGTAGTAGTAGAGACAAATGCCTTCCGGTTCCAATGACATGAGACAGAATGTGGAACACATGATGAAACACTCAATTAAGGCATCTGGGCGCTGAAGATGGACCACATACCTAGGATACATATTTCCTCCTTGATTAATGTATGGATGGGGGATTGTGGGTATGCGGCATCCCGCGGCGAGAGCAAGGTAACGAGGTGCTGCTGGCAGATTTATTTCTCTCCCGGATCCCAAATGACACCCTATTCCCTATATAATGCACTGTCAAAGGTAGTGCAATATATAGGGAATACGGTGCCATTTGGGATGCAGGCAGAAGACAAAGTGTCGGAGCGGTGGCATCTTCTTGAAATGTCATTACCTGCAGCAGCATATTCACCAGGCAGGAAGGATGGCCGTGACGGGAACACTAATGCTAATGAAGATTGGAGCTGGTCTTTGTCTAAGCTCATCCCTAACTGCCCAGTCCCAGCCAAGCTCTCAACCTCCCAGCCCAAATCAAATCACATTTTATTTGTCACATGCGCCGAATACAACAGGTGTAGACCTTACAGTGAAATGCTTTCTTACAAGACCTAACCAACAATGCAGTTTTAAGAGAAATAAGTGTTACGTAAACAATAGATAAGTAAAAAAAAATCCCTTTCTCGTAACTCCCCTTTCCTCATCCCCAGCTCCCATCCTATCCTCATCCCCAGCTCCCATCCTATCCTCATCCCCAGCTCCCATCCTATCCTCATCCCCAGCCCCATCAATCCCTATCCCCAGCTCCCATCCTATCCTCATCCTCAGCCCCATCAATCCCCTTCCCCATCCCTGCTCGCTCCTACCAAAAGTAACAAAGTAATCAGATTACGTTTGGGTAATCTAAACGTTACATTACTAATGACAATTTTGGACAGGTAACTAGTAACGGATTACATTTGGAAAGTAACCTACCCAACCCTGTGTGTGTGTGTGTCTATGGTCTTACCTTGAGGCGGTCTTTGGGCAGGGCCTGTGCTCCCTTCATGATGACCTCCTGAACCCTCTCTACTGACAGGTCTGTCCCTGCTGCCTCAAGACGCTGGCTGAAGAAACTTAGCACCTGGGGGGACAGTGACACACACGTCAGGAAAAGGACCTGTGTGTGTGTGTATGTTAGCTTTAGGAACCTTTCAGTTTAACTGTTGTTTTTCAGTATTTTGTGTGTGTGTGTGTGTGTGTGTGCGCGTAGTGTGAGAGAGATAGTGTTTTTCGTCTGTGTGTGTGTAATTGTAAGTGAACAATTACACACAGTTACAATTTGAGGTCTAGTCTTTTCATGACTGTGAAAGGCTAGTCTTTCATGAAACTGAGGCAGTGCTTTTCTTTGACACCACTGACACTCAAGAGAATTTACACTTCAATGAGTCTCGTCTCTGTACATCAATAACATATGTTGATCTGATTGAACTATCATCTCTTCTCAGCTTCTATTTGTATCATCTGGATCCTAATTCATTTAATCCTGTGCTTTGGGTCTTCACACTAGTTTACCATTGCAACAGACGTCACCCCCTCACCATCACCCCCTCAGGCAGGGTTGTAGTAGACCACATAGTGTCTCGGATCCATTTTTACTCGGTCTTGACTCAACTTCGGGACAATGAGGACTCGTAGTTTCTTCGTGAGACCAGCCGAGACCCGGGGCCTCATTTATAACCACTGTGTACATTTTACACAAAAAATAGAGATTTATAAACTTGGCGCAAGCCATACATATGTGTCCCATTATAAATTAGACCTGTTGTAAAACTGTGCACGCGTGAATGAGTATTATAACTCCACCTGAAAAAAGCCCATCATTCACCTTTTATGGTGACAATAACGCCCTTCTTTGCTATATACTTTGGAAGTATTGGAATTAGGCCAAGACAGTATCTAAAGGAAATAGCAATGGCGAACTTGATCAAATGTCTTTGGAGGTGGCAGAATGTTTTCTTTTGCAGTGAAATTTGCTGTTCTGACCTTTTCGGAAACACAAAAACAATAACAAATCATTTTAGACCTGTAAACAGATCATTTGCATTCAATAATGTTTTGCATTTACTTTTTCCCGAACCTAAATATGCTGCACTGGCCGCGAATTCTGAAACAAAAATAAAACTACAGTAGGCCTACATGCAGTGGTAGCCTACACACATTAAATGCAAAAGATAAACTGTCTGTTCACCTGTCAAATTCTATTGTAGGCCTGTGTTATAACCAGAGTTCCCTTTCAGATGCATAGAGCAAAAACAAATTATAGTAGCCTATCTAATAGACTCGAGAAAATACCGTTTTCAGACATAGCCTACAAACGTCAATGGAAAAGGTGAACCGTCTGTTCTACCGTCAAACTGTGCTTCAAATTGAATCGCATTGACCAAAATACTTGACATAGCTTATCTATTTACTACTGTGAAGTGGGTCCAATTAAATGAGAGATGGGACGAATGGTAGCCTATCCTAACTTGTTGTATAGGCCTATAAGTTATTCCTCGAGTATGAAACCATCACTAACCAGGTTTCCATCAAACCTTTCTATGCGAGTAAAGTACATGTCGGATAATTTTTTTTATGACCGCCGCTTTTATGAGCAAATATTGATATAATAACCATCATATTGAAGTGAACTTGGAGTCACGTGATGACATGTTTGGTCCTCCCACTACGACTCGGGAAACCATGCAGTTTATTAGGCTTCAGATTAAATAAATTATGATGAAATTCACAGGGTGGTGAAAGTGCAAGGTGATGAGCTTGATGTTCCTTTCCAATAAATATCAAGGGTCTTATTCTAGTGACATGATGATCGATGATTGGCTACCGTTTGACAACTAAAAATAATCTCGCTTTTTTGTCCATAATAATAATAATAATAATCTCATCATGTAGGATATACGTGCGTCTAGCCAACAGCACGCAGATAGCGCTGTTGGCTAGAGTGCACGTGCCAATACCAGAGTGGGCACACTTGCTATGTAACGCAACATTTTTGGTGAGAAAACCATCAGTAGAGTTCAAAATGTATTTTTTATTCGGTAAATGGGAATTTAACCGCAAAAGGTATTTTTATTTGCACTACGTCATCACGCACAGCCTTTTACCTGCAACAAGTCCACTTGATGGAAACATCTCTCGTGGGAAAATGCAGATTTTTTAATATTCGCATAAAAATCTGTCACCAATTGGATGGAAACCTAGCTAGAGTCAGAAAAGGTGAGGAATTGATTCTGCAATGATCAGAGACATGAAATAAATAGTAGGAAATAGATACCTATTTCGAATTATTTTAGAATCCAAAGAAAATAAATACGCCAAGATTTTTGCTCTTCTCACTAACAGCAAATTATTGCATTTTGTTATTATATTTAGCTACCTGTTTTTTTGTTATGAATAAGAGTGTCATCATGCACTGTGTGTACAAAATTAATATTGATATAATATTGAGTTGCACTCTCTTTTGCCCTCAGAACAGCCTCAATTCGTCTGGGCATGGACTCTACAAGGTGTCGAAAGCGTTCCACAGGGATGCTGGCCCATGTTGACTCCAATGCTTCCCTCAGTTGTGTCAACTTGGCTGGATGTCCTTTGGGTGGTGGACCATTCTTGATACACCCAGCAGCGTTGCAGTTCTTGCCACACTCAAACCGGTGCGCCTGGCACCTACTACCATACCCCATTCAAAGGCACTTAAATATTTTGTCTTGACCATTCACCCTCTGAATGGCACACAATCCATGTCTCAATTGTCTCAAGGCTTAGAAATCTGTTTTTAACCTGTCTCCTCCACTTAATCTATACTGATTGAAGTGGATTTAACTAGTCACATCAATAAGGGATCATAGCGTTCACCTGGTCAGTCTATGTCATGGAAAGAGCAGTTGATCCTAATGTTTTGTACACTCAGTGTATATTCCCCATTTGCTACTACTAAGCTACTTTTGCATTCGTGAAATGCAATACTTCAACCACTAGAAACTGTGCGTACGCATGGTTTAAAGATTGCGGGAGGATAAGCACATTCTCACGTGAAGTTCAGTTTTTATAAATTCCAACTTTTGCGTGAAAATTGGCACACGCATGTTTTGGGGCATATTTTGTGCGTACGCAAGGTTTATAAATGAGGCCCCAGTGGAGTTAAAAACTCAATTATCAGCCCCTGTTCAGTCAGCACATAAAATCACTTTGCCAGGCCAGAGATCCACACTCCTTTCATGAAACAATTATATCTTATAGCCTATTAAAACCTGGGCTTTCTACTTTACTCGTAACATTATGGTCCTTTACTTTTGTTGAAACATATCCTCAAACCTTGTCACGCGCTTCGGAATTTCCTTGCTCCCATAGAAGGGAAGACTGTGGGAAATTGTTTGAGAGTCGCGCACTCGCTGAGGGGAGACTGGGGGAAATTGTAACATTATTTACAGACCATGGTTAGTGATCATTTGAAGAGTGGCTCTCTATTTGCCCACAGAATACATTTTTCCACCATTCTGAATGGCTAAAGAATCCATATTTTGTTCTGAAATATTGACAAATAATTACTGTATATTTGGAGCTCTTATTATGGTGCCGATCTGACAAAATTACAATCATGTACTTGACTCGTACTCGATTTGCTACCGTCTTGGTCTTGACTCGAGACCACCTACACAACACTGCCCAGGTGTAGTCTGAAGTTAGACAAACAGCTGATAAACGTATCCTAGCAACATGGGCTATAAGATCAAGGCAGCTTGAATGATTCTGGAGAATAAATCTGCTGCTTTTCAAAAGAAGAGTGTTTGGGTGAGATTTGGCCTATAAAAAGCAAGTAATAGTCAGTCATTTTATTTCACATTACAAACATTGGGTTCTACTTTCAAAAAGGGAATGTTTCTTCTCTTTCGTTACATGCTTTCGTTACACTGGTAGTAGTCTCTTATGACAGATTCTAATTAATGTCGACATCAATATCAACATTTGGTTCTGGGTTATAAGATCACACTGGTAGAGAGCAGAGAGGAAGGAAAGAGAGGAGGGAATGGATAGAGGAGACGAGGGATATGAATCCGCCCTAGGGATGTGTATCTCTCTTTTACAATGACGATTCGATACGCATCTAGATACATTGGCATAGTTTGAAACGATTGGTTGTGATTTGATTAGTGGATTTGGACGAACTGTCCTATGGTCTGTCCATGTTTCCATACTTTTGACACGGCACACTACATTGTCTCAGTGATTGCACTGCGAGAACAGCCAGGTAAGCAAAGAACATTCTACAACGGGTTGAATTTGACAATGTCATACGCAGTTACATGCATAAAACTTCAATAGGCTGAAGGAGAGGATGCATCAATTCAGTCCCAACACATTAGAGTATTTTCGGAATAAGTCCGAAAAAAAGATGAGTAAAAAACAGTGAACCGATTCGGAACGTTTGAATAGGTTCTCTTACTGATGCATGCTTCATTTGGATCAGTTTGGGCTCTCGCGGACCGATGCACTCACATCTTCAACATTTGAACCGGGGACCGATGCGTATCGGTGAATCACTACATCCCTAATCCGTCTTCTACTACAACTCCCGACACGATCTGTGTCTGAGAACAGCATGTCTACTGATGTCTTCATTGGGTCTGAAGGTTTCCCATATGGGGTTAATTTAAGGAGCAGAAACTAAACCAGCCTTGCTCCAGAGTCCCAGGCAGACCTCTCAAACAGGCTGCAGCACATACAAGCATTAGAGGCAGCAGGGCTGGGTAACAGGGAAAGGACTAGTGAAGATTAAGCTGCCATCTGTCTTAACTGTCCCTAGACACTTGTTGGAAGACTGAATGACAGCTAGTGTAGCTCTCGACAACATAATCATGTTCTGAATTAATATTTTACTATCAGCCCCATGAGGGTACAGAGAGTGGACTTATTTTATTCATCAATACAAATCAGAAACTTGAATTGAGTTGTACTGTGCTGGTTTCTTCTTCCTTCTAACAGTTCAATAGTGACCAAAACTTACAAAGCTTTTTCACAAAACTATTCTGAAGTCTTATGCTTTCTAAATCCTGTTAATAAATTGCAAATTGCCTGTTGGATTCATGTTTCAATTCAATTTCAATTCATTGGAATGGGGTGCGCGCGTGTGTCTGAGCAGTGTCCGTCTGTATGTGCATGTGAGCACTCGTTCGTATGCCTCTCTCTCTCTCACTCACTGTGTCGAGGTTCTGCATGATGTCCTGGAAGGAGGGGTGTGTTCTGAACTGTTCGAAGAGCTCTCTCTTGTAGAGCAGGGCGTAGACCAGGTTAGGGTTGTGGTGTAGAGAGTTAGACAGACACGAGTTGATGATCTCCAGCATCATCCTGATCACCTCCTCAATCACATTCAGGTCCTGGGCCTAGAGAAGAGAGAGGGGACAAACTAACATACAGGGCCTATAAAGAGAGAAACATATGTATTTTATAAGAGACACAAGAGCAAGACACGACTTTCAGGTGAAACATTTAATGACCTGATATTTCACTTTGGGGGGAAAACTGTATGAAAGAATTACCCTGATGTTTCACCTTTGTCTTACTGCAGTAAATGTGAACTATTTTGCTAAATGTCCACAACTCTTACGCCAACACAGTGGGCATCTGGTTTAAAGCAAATAGGGGTTCCATAACCAAAAGAACAAGGCGACTAGAAGTAAAAGGAAAAGTTTGTTACTAGAATCAATGGTTTCCATTGGGTCGTAAATAGAAAGTGACGGTGTGTGAGAGCAAGGAAGGTTAAGTGTGTGTGAGTGAGTGAGTGAGAGAGCAGGGCAGCCTAGCAGTGGCTGGAGCAAGGGAGCCAGAGAGGAAGCCGGGGGCACCACTATGTCCGTAGAGGCAGTAGACAGGGAACACAGGGGTAGGCAGGCGGCAGGGTGGTTGTGTCATGTTGAGGGATACCCATTGTGATGCCTGCGTGGCTGAGATGTTATCTAGCTCCATACAGACTGTCTGGAGTCTCAGGCCAGGAACCATTTACATTTTAGTCATTTAGCAGACGCTCTTATCCAGAGCGACTTACAGTTAAGTGAGTGCATACATTTTTCATACTGGCCCCCTTGGGAATCGAACCCACAACCCTGGCGTTGCAAGTGCCATGCTCTACCAACTGAGCTACAGGAGGCCTACAGCACTACGCTATGCAAAACAGCAACATATTATACCTGAGAGAGAGAGAGAGAGAGAGAGAGAGAGAGAGAGAGAGAGAGAGAGAGAGAGAGAGAGAGAGAGCGCAGACTGGGAGTGGAGTCCCCCCGTGTTGCTATATTACAGCCCTGCCTCCCTCCATTACCTCATGTTATCGTTCACTCCCACTTTGCACAACCACCAATCTCTAGCTAACTCTGCTCAGAATTTCAAGGAACCCAGGTTATTGTAAAGGCATCAAATCATGTTCTAACAGCTCAAGTATGGTCACTCATCTAAACATGCCATTGGCCTGAATAGAAACATATAAATTATCAACTCACAATCATCAATACACCAGACAAAAAGACATGGGGGTTGTGGTGGTTAGGGCTGTGGCGGTCATGACATTTTGTCAGCCGGTGACTGTCAAGCAAATAACACCCGGTCTCACGGTAATTGACCATTTATTAACATAAACACATTTAGCATCTCCCGGCTTCCACGCATAGCCTACAAGCCACTGATGCAGACCTTTGGAACATCTACATTTAAAAAAGTATAATAAATCCATGTAATATAGCCTACAACATCACAATAAATACATTATTAATTTTAGACAGGTCTAAAGAAACATGATATGAAGAAAATGTAGTCTGTTTCAGAAGAACAGAATAGCATACTCTGAGTTGTCCTTATGTTAGGTCCTGATCTGCCTAAGCCATATGGCTGTGGGCTACACTAGTTCATTTAGCAGACAAGATTTTCTCTAAAATTCCATGGAATTATTTAATAGTATGAAGAATAAAACTGAACACAACTGAATAAAATAGAAAGGATATTTTCTCCAAACGATTTGGGGGAGTGCGCACATGCGGCTATTCTGTGTTGAGAGGTTAACAAAGAAACAGGTACTCATATGCTTAATTTAGAGTTATTTCTGTAACTTTAATGGTGATACAAACGTTGGGCTATATGTTTTGATTTTTAATACATTTTAAGGCTGCATGATGCGACTAATGATGCCTCGAATTTCCCGGTGGCATCCCCTTTGTGTGGCCATAATGACCCCTAAAACAATCCATGCCTTTTGCGGCCAGTGGCCGTTGTGTCCTTATCTAATTCCGAGGCGCATATTGAAGATCTTGGAAGAACTGTCCACATTTACTTTTGGTCAGCCAACAAGATGAGTAGGCCTAACGAACAGCAAAAGCACTAGCTTATGTCAATCTATTATCCCCCACAGTACAAAAGTTGACCCATTCTATTCTGTGCGAGAAATAAATATTCCAAACGTAGTCTGGGACACTTGTGGGATGCGATAGACCCCAAATTAAATACACCCACTAGCATCAAAACTTTTTTTTTGAAGTAATGAGGCTGACGCAACAGATCAGAACCTTTAGCTTAAAAGGTTCTTCACATTATAAGCGCAGCAATGCGCACATGGCAGTAGGCTACAAGCGCAAATGTTCCATTAGCAGGAAAACACCATTCTAAAAAGTGACTGGAAATGTGATTAACATGTAATGCTTTTGTTATACAGTCGTGGTCAAAAGTTTTGAGAATGACACAAATACTAATTTTCACAAAGTCTGCTGCCTCAGTTTTGATGATGGCAATTTGCATATACTCCAGAATGTCATGAAGAGTGATCAGATGAATTGCAATTAATTGCAAAGTCCCTCTTTGCCATGAAAATGAACTTAATCCCCCCCAAAAAAATTCCACTGCATTTCAGCCCTGCCACAAAAGGACCAGCTGACATCATGTCAGTGATTCTCTCGTTAACACAGGTTAGAGTGTTGACGAAGACAAGGCTGGAGATCACTCTGTCATGCTGATTGAGTTAGAATAACAGACTGGAAGCTTTAAAAGGAGGGTGGTGCTTGAAATCATTGGTTTTCCTCTGTCAACCATGGTTACCTGCAAGGAAACACGTGCCATCATCATTGCTTTGCACAAAAAGGGCTTCACAGGCAAGGATATTGCTGCTAGTAAGATTGCACCTAAATCAACCATTTATCGGATCATCAAGAACTTCAAGGAGAGAGGTTCAATTGTTGTGAAGAAGGCGTCGGGGCGCCCAAGATAGTCCAGCAAGCGCCAGGACCGTCTCCTAAAGTTGATTCAGCTGCGGGATCGGGGCACCACCAGTGCAGAGCTTGCTCAGGAATGGCAGCAGGCAGGTGTGAGTGCATCTGCACGCACAGTGAGGCGAAGACTTTTGGAGGTGGCTTCTTTGCTGCCCTTCTTGACACCAGGCCATCTTCTCTCCAGGAAAAACATCAGGGACAGACTGATATTCGGCAAAAGGTACAGGGATTGGACTGCTGAGGACTGGGGTAAAGTCATTTTCTCTGATGAATCCCCTTTCCGATTGTTTGGGGCATCCGGAAAACACCTTGTCCGGAGAAGATAAGGTGAGCGCTACCATCAGTAATGTGTCATGCCAACAGTAAAGCATCCTGAGACCATTCATGTGTGGGGTTGCGTCTCAGCCAAGGGAGTGGGCTCACTCACAATTTTGCCTAAGAACACAGCCATGAATAAAGAATGGTACCAACACATCCTCCAAGAGCAACTTCTCCCAACCATCCAAGAACAGTTTGGTGACGACCAATGCCTTTTCCAGCATGATGGAGCACCTTGCCATAAGGCAAAAGTGATAACTAAGTGGCTCGGGGAACAAAACATCGACATTTTGAGTCCATGGCCAGGAAACTCCCCAGACCTTAATCCCATTGAGAACTTGTGGTCAATCCTCAAGAGGCGGGTGGACAAACAAAAACCCACAAATTCTGCCAAACTCCAAGCATTGATTATGCAAGAATGGGCTGCCATCAGTCAGGATGTGGCCCAGAAGTTAATTGACAGCATGCCAGGGCGGATTGCAGAGGTCTTCAAAAAGAAGGGTCAACACTGCAAATATTGACTCTTTGCATAAACGTAATGTAATTGTCAATAAAAGCCCTTGACACGTATGGAATGCTTGTAATTATACTTCAGTATACCATAGTAACATCTGACAAAAATATCTCATAACACTGAAGCAGCGAACTTTGTGAAGACCAATACTTGTGTCATTCTCAAAACTTTTGACCACAACTGTAAAGGTGCATTTTTATGGTGAAAATGATCTTCCCCAAACTTGAAACTCACGCGCTGCATATGTATGCCAGTTAGGCTCTACACCCGTTGTAAAGCGGATTAATGTGCTAAATTTTAATTCGTTATTTGGCCACTTTAGTTGTGATACAAACATTGGGCTATATGTTTAGATTTTTTGATTTATTGTTTTGTTGTAATTTCTACCCCCATTTTCTCTCCAATTGTGTCGCAGGAAACACCGTTCAACTGACAAACTGAAGTCAGCCTGCAGGTGCCCGGCCCTCCACAAGGAGTCGCTAGAGCGCGATGAGCCAAGTAAAGCAATTCCCGGCCAAACCCTCCCCTAACCCGGACGACGATGGGCCAATTGTGCGCCGCCCAATGGGACTCCCGGTCACGGCCGGTAATGACACAGCCTGGGATCGAACCCCAGGCTGTAGTGATGCCGCAACACTGCGATGCAGTGCTTAGACCGCTGCGCCACTCGGGAGGCTGTATATGTTTTGATTTTAAATACATTCTGAGGCTGCATGATGCGACTAATGATGATTTGAAAAAAGTTGCATGAAAGGCATTAGCGCTGCTTTATTCTTTGCACAGGCTGTACACACTTCATCAGTCTCTCATTCACAATTTGACAAGCACTTGATAATGCCTCGAATTTCCCGGCAGCAAATATATCATTCACAAGTGATAGGCAAATATTGTCACCCATCAGACTATTCTTGATTTAATCTCGTCTTCACATATATTAAATAATATTTGTGTGAAATTTGTTTGATTTAGAATGGACCTTTATCATGCACCTGTCTTGAAACAGGGGTAGGGGGAAAAAATACATGTCATCTATGCACTTTGCGAATGGAGGATGCTATTCCCGTGGTTAATTTTCATGCTATCCTGTTGTAAAGAGAAGCAATGTGCTTAATATTAGGAAAGTTGATCAATAAATATAGTAGAACCTCTCTCCTAGCCTATAGAAAGCTGATCGGATCCTCCTCTTTTTAATAGAGGCCATCACTCTGTTTTCTCACGCAATTGCATAGCCTATAGAAATGTTGCGCAACATGAGCTCATGGGCTCTCATGTAGTGTTCGATTAGATTTCAGAATAAATTTGCATT